ATATACAATTTCATTTAATTATATGAAATAATATTCTTGTAACTCCCAATTATTATTTGCACCCGTTACATTTATATTCTCACATTAAACCCGATTCAATGCAATATTTTTTTATTCCTACATATTTATCATATTAAAACCGTTATTGATCACACATAACATCTATATTATTACACAATACTTGCAAAAGTACTTGTGAAACAATTACACGAATTGGTCACTCATACTTATGCTAATTTTACAAATATTATTAAAGTTGTTACATTCGACAAAATATTTCTACCAGTTAAAAATCTGTAAAAAAAAATTGATTGAAATAATGAATGTTATTTTTAGTTCATTAGTAGTAAATGTTTTACTTTCATTATTACCACCTGAGTTCATTACTATCAACATTTTGTCCACAAGTATAGATAATTAAATGTATTATACATTTGAAACTATATGAACCTGTATGAATATTTGAATAATATGTACGAACCATAAAAACTAATGTAACGTTATTTATGTGTACCAATTAAGAAAATATTATAAATATTTTACGTTTATTTTGTGATGAATTAATATAAAGTAGTTAACTGGTTGTATAATGATAATTACTTAAAATTACTGAAAAACTATAAAAAAATAGGTGGCAAAACCTCAGTATAAAAAAATATTATTGTTGTTAATAATCAACTGTCAAACAGATGTATTCGATTTCAATACAAAAACTATCATTAATTATTATTACGTTAATTTAAATTATTAATTAAATTTTAATTAACGACTAATTGAAAATATTTAAATTTACTTTAATTATTAGAATCTTACTAATATATTAATTATATTAAGGAATACTATTAATTAAATAAAATAATTATAAAATGTAAATGTGTGAGTCAATCAAATTTGATACGTTCTTTTTAATTTTAAACTATGAGTAATAGCTTCCCAAAATAGTAGTAGATATTTGATAAGAAACAGATGTTAAAAATTGGGTCAATAGTTTGTAATTACGCGAAAGATTATATTTTTTTCCTTTGATGTCGTTGTTTATGTTTCGTTTTGTCGCATTTATCAACGTTTAATAATAAACAATGGCAACCGAGCAATTCAAAATAAAAAAAAACTCACAGCGGCATTAATTGGTGCTGCGACTGGGGACGACCCAAGAATCTGACATACATCTATGGAAACGCATTTTGTTGTAAACAAAATAATAAAAAATAAAACTTTCAAACATATTGTAATATATATATATATATGTTGAAAGATGCCCTAGGCGCGACATTGCATCGTGATCAACGCCGCACAACTAACGTGACCTAAGCAAAGGTTACATAACTTTGGAACTGCTGTTTTTTCTGTTCTCCATCTCAATGTTTGTATAAATATCAGAATATGCTTCTACAAGAATCCGGTTTAAAGAATCACTGCTGATTTTCTGTTATAAATCATAAAATTTTCCTAAAATCATGAAATTCTTCTCTTACAATTCAGTTTAAAGTAACCTAATGATGTCATATTATTGAGTGCGATTGAGTGTGATTTCAAATTTTAATACAAAATCATAAGATTTTTCTCTAAGCATCTAGTTTAAAGCATTCAACGTTTGATAGCTTTGTTCAATGCCTTTAACTTAGTTTCGATACTGCGAAGTAAAACGTGTCGTGGGCCGTGTCATTAAAGGTTACATAACGTTACCCGGAGGTTCTCTTCCGCTTCTGCTAATTTAATTCGTACACGACCGAAGGTAGTGTAAGGTTACTACAGAACTGGAGGTCTGCACTTATTTCGAGTACCTTTTAATTGAATTTAATAGCGTTAAACTATTGAGGATACGAAACCTCGACAATAGGATGAACTGCCAAGGTTATACTTAACTTGAACCTAGTTCAAACAGGAAGTCTGCAGTAATTTTCACAAGTCTCGTGAAATAAAAAAAAACAGCATTACAATTTAATAAACATTTTCAGGGTCAAGGAGAAGATAAAATGAATCTTAAAAATCTTCGAAGCATGAAAACTCTGCAATGTATGGTTTTCATTAAAAGAAAATTTATTTTTCATACTGCATTTTAGGATGATCATAGTTTTAGTTTCTTCACTGACTGACATATTTCATAGGAAAAATCTTCAATCAACGTTCTGGATGATAAAATCCCACAACAAATTATGACATAATATTCATAAAAATACTTATCAATTCTTTTCAGCTCATTAAGCAATGCAGTAATACTTGAAGTGATATAAGAGAAGGGTTAACAATTTAAACGCAAATAAGCTCATCAAGCGTATCATGATGAGTTTCGGTGTTAATAAATCTTGAAAACATTCACTCACGATTTTCCAAAGTAAGTGAACTGGATTGGGGCAATTTATTTATGACACAGCCCGTTCGAACGTTTCTATCAGATGCAAGAACCCAAGAAGGTATATCGACTTGAACGGTGGAAAAGAAGAAGAACAAGAGAGAGAAAAAGAAGGCTTTGCTCATTGTATGCTAAAAACTGTCGAAAGTGCAAATTGTGTCAAAGTAAAAGTAGAATTGTTCCGATCTTCGCTGCGGAAAGAGAACAACTGTTCAGATAAACATTAACTGACAATAAAAACTAAATGGTGCAAATTAGAAAATTTATATACATTTTAATTTGAATTTTGAAGAAAGTTACAATGAAGATGAGTTTCTAAAATCGATTTTTTTTTTTAAATATATTTTGTTTATTGTGACGTTTGTTTAAGAACGTAACGCACTAATTGATCATTTATGAAATTAAGCTGTGATTACGGTGGAAACCGGATGGAAAAGATTACTCCTTCAGAAAGCCTTGCAAAGAAGACCTTCGCACAGAATTACTTTTTTTTTAAATTTGATTTCGAACCATGACACATTGTTTCGATTTAATTAGTCCTAAAAGTAATAATTAAATTTAGTTTGAACCTTGATCCTATTAAAGTCCTTGTTTCCTTGAGAACATTTAAAAATAAAGTTTGTTTGTTATTTGCATCGAAATCAAAGCTGCAATTCCATTTGTATCACATTCGGAATTGGTTATTCCTTTGAGCTGTTCTAAGGTGCAGCAGCAATAGTTGAGTATCTTTCAACAATCGCTCCAATAAAATTCCATTATTGCTTCAGTTTTTATATGTAGGAAATTTCTCTTTTTTATCCTCGACTCGGACTAGGACCTTCGGGTCATGCAATCCTTCAATAGTCTATATTAGTCTTCAATACAGATCATTTAGAAAGTCCCGTATAATTAGCAAATACTTTCTCACTCTCGACTAACCAAATATTACAAAAACAAATCTCTCCAAGCTCATATATGTGTATATTGATATATTTTTTTAAACTAATATATTTATGTTATTAATTGCTTTAAATTTTATGATCCATATCGTGCTTATTCAGTCGAAATCGAAAGTGAAATAGCTACGCATGCCACGAGCGCAGAATGCTGCTGCTCGACTTCTACAAATCTCAATAATTAAATCAATCGGAAGCGTAGTTTTGTTACGCAACTGTTTTTTTTATACATCATTAGTGCAGTGATTATCTTTGTAATACGCACGCGTTTACTTCCGCCAAAAACAAGAATTATGTCATTTGGTATTTAGGTTATAACATTCTACCTCTAAATATTCCTCTTGCAGACTAATCGTCAGTTAATTTAGGTTACGGTTAATATTGTTCCTGTTACGTACGGTTAGCGTATAATGTCGGTATTGTCATTAGGAATGGTACATTTTCAACATTCTTCAGAACACGCGGCACACCCTATCTGAGATACGACCTTCTATTAGTCAGCCGTGTAAAATTTAAATAACAAAAAAAAGAAACAGAGACATTTTTATTGAATGACCATTATATTTTCTGCAATTGTAAACAGCTTTTTTTAATGAAAGGTCAGCGTTTCAAATCATATTTATTAGATGCCAAGTTTCAATTTAATATAGTTGTTTGCATTGAAATCATATAATTCACAAGTTTATCCCAATAAGTAATATTATTTTGAAAAAGTTGTTGTTTTAAAAATGTTGATATTCAAAAATATATTTGAGATGAAAAATCACGGCTGTTTGTGAAGTTATATAAATGTTTTGATATTAAGTAAGCAAACAGTTTAGTACAGTAATAGAGGTACGGAAAACATAATTAATAGCACAAAATAATTTTTTTTAAATTTATTGCTCAATTAAAATTTAGTTTGTTTTGAAATTTCCAAATCCTACTATAGTGAGTCCTCATTGATCGAAGTTTTTATAAATTAAAATTTGTTTATTAATTTAATAATTTGTATAAATGAAGCAGAATTTTTATAGAATTATATTCAAATTCTGTGTGTTATAAGTAAGCAATTTTTGATATACAGATAAATATTTGAGATTCATAAAAATCATATTTCTATGAAATTATGTAAATAATATCAAAAATTAGTTTGAAGCATCATATTAGTTTTTCGGTAAATACGTAAAGAACAGAGATTGTGAGTCCATCGAATAATATAAGTATGTAAGAGAGGCTATATTCTTGGGTTTCCGTATGTGAATACCAAATTTAGTGTCCTGTCGCGAGGTGAATATTAAACTTGGAATGTGAATAGTTATCGAAAGTAAATCACAATCTAATACATATGAGAGAATAAATAAAGGAGAGAAGAAGAAGGAGAAGGAGGAAAAAAAACTTTCAATTTCTCTCTGCAAGTCAAGAGACTGGACTGCCTTGGCTCCTACGAGCAAGTCAATATACAAAATCACGTAGTCGGTAACGGACTTGGGTATAAATGTTTTTCAAAGATATATCTATATATATATATAAGCACACATATAAATCGGTCCGTTTCGTTCTTTCTTCTCTCTCGTTTAGTGGGTCATGTTATGTAACTGTTCGCGAAACTATTAACACACATCGACGTGTTTTTAGTTTTGTGTAACAACAACAAATAAAAAATATATAGAAAATCGATCAGAAGGAATTCATGCAAGTATGCGTGATTCGAATGATGATTTATTCCTTACCTTGATAGTTTGCTGATAGTAAATTCGTTTAGATCCAAAGGCACTCTATCATCATACACTGAGTATTGCTTCTGCGAGCTTCTCCCTTCGGCGAACTCGAAAAACCACCTAATGAGAAACGAAGAGACGCATTTAGTATGGATATTTTTTTTGTTTGGTGATAATTCAAAGACGTGTGATTCGTGTTAACACTTCACCAAATGGTATTGCGAATGATATGAGTCAACGGACTTATTTTCGCCGAGCACAATTCGAAACCAATTAACATGCAATTCAGACGGTCATTAGTGATGTGCATCGAAAGTTCTTTTTAATATATACGCAGACGGCTTCGTTCATTTGACATAATCGACTTATGCAACAGCCGGCCATTTTACGTGAAGACACAATGTTTCAATTAGCAACGTCTATCTTCTTTGCAACCAATTAGTATTTTGATTGGTACCGCGTTGTTGGTACATATCCTATTTATGAATGAAACTAAGCGAAAATTTGTTCATCTATTATTTGCATCACCTGCTATGAATTTATATGCTAGTGGGTATTTAACAATTTAGAAATCGACATTCTATGAGAATCTTCTTAAACTATTAATAACTTTATTTAAAATGATAACTTTCAAAACTTTACCTCTAAATAAATAATAGAAATAAAAAATATTATAATATATTTTGTTCCCCCTTCGAAAAATGTTCGCAGTCATTTAAATAATAATAATTCTCGAAAAATCCAACAAATAATCAATAGAAAATTGAGCATAAACAAAATAATTTAAAAATTAATGAATTTCAATTTAAGTTAGTACTTAATTAATAATCCTTAAAGGACTAATCTACACGAAATATAATTATCTCACCGCTCTTAATAAGAGTATCAAAGCTTAAGACTGTTTTCAAGTGTATTTCTCACCGTTCCTCCTCCCGCTTTTACTATACATCTTTTCAGATAAGCCCACTTCTGTGTACTTAAAACGTTAAAGCGGTTAACCGAGATTACACAATTACGGTTTCCCTGTTCGTAGTAATATTTGTATTTCCTATTCACAATATAATTTGATGTATTCATTAAAATGTGTATAATACAAGTTGATGTAATCATTGCTGATGTAGATTCTCTTAACAAAAGATAAAATAATTACGAAAAAATAAAACAGGTGGTCAACAAAATATATTTTTTGACATTGCTTTATTATTGTATGTAACTAAAATTTTCCATAAAAAAATAAATCTTGCTTTATAATGTTTTCCTTTAAAAAAGTGAAAAAATAAAGATTTTTTTAATAGCCCTTTGTATATCTTTATTAATAATTTATGTGAATTTTATTTTGAATTATTTTGTACCATAAAAAATATCACTTTATTTCTAATGTAATAAAATGAGATTCACTGTTCATTATTTCACATTTTTTGTCTGTAAATATTTAATAATATCTTTGTTAATTAATGTATTTCGAAGTTTTTTTTAATTAAAAGTTTTACGTCTATAATTATTTATATAATTTTTTCAATAATTTTTACTCTAAGAAACATTAACCCATTAACACATTGTTAGAATTAATGAAATAAAAAATAACATTGTCATATCACAATAGAAAATTGTTTGTTTGTAATTATTTTATAATTTCTGCGTGTTTATTACATTTTAAATTATATTTCAAGTAATCCATTTTAATGATAGTTGTTTTTTTTTATTTCAAACTTTTCTGTTTTATAATACTAATTTGACAAAAGTTTTGAATGTTAACAATAAAAAATATTGTTGAGTTAAATGAAATTAACAAAGTATCATGTGACAATTGAATATTGTGCATTTTATACAATACTATTATGAGTCATTTAATGCTTTCTAAATAATTTTTTGGTTGATGCAATTCTCGTTCGGGTTTATTGGGATCCTTGAGATGAAAGAAAATTATTTTGTTGGATACAAAATAAAATATGAAGCTATAATCACATCATATAAATCAAGTTATACCAATAATGTAATAATTATAATGATACGTAAATGCGGTTTGCGAACTAGGCATTCATTTTCCTTGATGGGTGGCCATTATAACCACATAAATTGTAGCATCAATTGTTCTTTTGAAACAAATTTAGTTTGCGCATTAAGTGCGCACTTAATCTTATTAAAATTCCATTTACAAAGGCAACGAAGGGCTATCAATTGTGCCGTTTAGCAAATACCCAAATTGCGTAACTTTCACTTGAAGGATCGTAATTTTTGTTTGCTCGGGCGATTACGAAAAATGGTAAATTAAATAATGACGGTGTTGCTAATTTTCGCAATTGACACTAAGATGAGTGACCTAATTTTCGATTTTACAATTTTAGGAGGAGAATAGCCGTGCATGATTTTATATTTGAATGGCGTTGGTTTTGCGCAATCTGAGGTTTAAAGAAGAAATTTGACATTTCGATTGTAGCGAAAGTAAAAGCGCATAATCGTCTGATGCTCATCTTCACAATACTATGTGTATATATAAATTGTATGTATATGTATACTTGGGCCATCCATAAAGACACACGTTAGATGAATACCAATTTCATCTTCACGCTTAAGAGAGTACCGGCCATGAACCGCGATGACCAACAACGTTCGTGCAAAGTTGATGATACGCTCTACGTCGAATACGAACCTCTTCTGGTCAGTTGCTGCTGCGGCGATTCTTTTCTGGTTCTTGCTTTCCGTTTAAATCCAAAGAAACCAAAAAAATAATAATGTACGTGTGTATGTAAAAAGTAACAAAAAATAAATCGCACAATCTCGTTCGGATTTTTCAGTATTTCAGGCACTCCTCACTGTTACTAGAAACCGGAGGTCACGAGCTGTGGACACTTGTTGAACACCGTGCGCGGACTGACTGTGCAGGTAAACCGAAGGCTCACCTGTCCCAAGCTCTGGTCTTTGTTGGTGGGGCAAGAAGAGAACCCCATTTCAGATTTACCAAAGGCAATATAACAACGCTCTAGCCTTTTGGTACACTCAACGCGCCAACAGAACACATGCCCACTTGACTCGCTATACCGAATCTAATACTCATAACTTATTCTCCATTCCGGCGCACTCACTTCTTGTTTCACCTAAAAAAATACTTTTCTAAATTATTTTTCTTTTATTTCAAATATATTTATTTATTATTAACATTATCTTGCATTGCATAAACATTATTTTGACAATTTATCTATTTGTATCTATTACTTGTATCTTTTTTTCATTATACTTTCTTCAATACTTTTTAAACTAATTTATATAAGTCATTTATTATATATCATTTCAGTTTTATTACTTTGTTCGGTTCATGTATTATCATGTTATTAGTATTTTATATATTAGCATCATTTTTAAATAATAATAATATTTATTGAAAAATTTATACATTATCAAACAAAAAAAAATATGTTTATAATAAAAAAATAACTGTTACAGAGGGCTATTGAATCTTTCCGCCCTTAAATAATATTTGTTAATATTTCTGTTACTAAAAAGTTTACAATATATTCAATTATTTGCATTTTATTGAAATACACTTTTAACTATAGTTTTATAAATAATTTAATAGCATTTATTCATCTACATTTAATAAAAAATATTTGTTTATTCATTTATTAAAATTTTTGTTAATATCTTATACATTATCATTTCTATACAGTTTTTTCAAAAAGTTTTAAAATAAATATTACTATCAATTTAAATACATTTCTTAACAATCACATACACCGTGTCATGGATTAAAAATAAATTACGTTTCATTGATTTTTCTGAATAACTTTAAAAATAATTTATATATTTTTTTTACAAAATATTATTGAAAATTAATAAGTTTTTTATTAATTCATATTCTCCGCATTTTGTAGACATTAATTTTGGGATTTACCTTTTTTGCAAGTGGACTTTCCACAATACTTATTTATTGGTTGAATGTTTTTCCAAATATTACATCGTTAATCGAAACTTTGTTTTCAGAAGTACAAATTCTAAGGCCAGAATAAATGAATGTATGATGCAATGAAAGTGAAAAGCTTTTACAATGTGAAATCGCATTCGAAAATATGATTCTAAAGTTGATTGTTGTTTTTTTATTGCCTATATGTTTAATAATAATACTTCTTAAATCAGCATCATTTTCATAATAAAAATTAAAACATTATTATTTAAGCATCATTTTTAATCTTTGATTCTTAAGATTTTTCGGCAGGAACTTTAATAATTTCGTATTTTTTTTTGTTGCTAATAAGGTTTTCTATTTTTTTGCCAATAAAAATTCATCAACTTCAATAATTTCTAAAATTCTAACATCCTCTTCATCAACACTATCGAAAAATTAATACTTTGAAATTGCGAACTGTTTAATAATATCTAATCTTCGTTGTCAGAGATCAGAATATAAAAAATTAATGAAATATTTTTTAGAATAGTTCTTATTTTTGTTGTTTTTTTGCACAAATTAATTGTAATATACAATCCGTGCCAAAATATAATTAATAAATAAACAAATTAATTCTTTTTTTTATCACAAAATAAATAGTTTACATAGAATCCGTGTCGAAATATAATAGATTAAGCAATAAACAAATCAATTCTCATTCCCAAAGAGATCGATTGCATGGTCAATGCTTTCAACAATTTAATACAGCAATTTTCCGGTTACGTGTCTAATCATCACCAAACCAAACCCAAAATCAGAACAAAACGTTAACAATTAAATTATCTCTGTTAGGTTTTGTGTCTACATTATTTAGTACTAATGAATTGAAATACAGCAATGCCTCGCATAGTGCTACTTCGATTAATGCAGATTCATTATAGTCCGGTTTAGAAAGTTCAAAGCCAATATATTTTATCTTTTTTTTATATAAATAAATAAAAGTCTTCGATTAGTCCGGTTTCATATGGTCCTAGATATTGACGGAACCGATTAACCGCACTATACGATGTAATGCTTTTTTATATTTGAACTGATTAGAAATTTTGATATATTAATTAGTAAAATAAAAACTACATATATTTACTGTAGTCTTTCAGCTTCTTATATAATTATTAACAATAAACTAGATACTTTATTCTTGAATATAATTTCAGTTAAGTTAATTTGTTAATATATGAAAGGTAGTATATTTAACTTTCTTAATCTGTCAATTATGAAAAACTTATTAATATTATATAATGCAAGCAAATTTGCAATTACAGGAAAAAAAATATAATCATAATGTTGTATGTTAATAAATACTTTAATATATTATGCAACATAAAGAAAGTAGTTTTCCAGGACAAGAATTTTCCGTTTATCGATTCCAACAGTTGACAAATTGGAAACATACAAACATATACAATGTAATATATTATAAAAATAAAATATTAAAAAATATATTTCAATCAGTTTTTATTTACAACAAAAAAGAACGTTAGTCAATAATATATAAAAAAAAAGTGACGAACGTGTTGAAACGAACTGTAAAACAGGACACATTAGTTATTCATTTGTCTCACGGGCAACTGAAATGCATTTCGCATGATTAAATAATCGTTTTGAAAGCACTAAAGTAATAATATATTCATCGTCAATTTCCTCGATTTTTGGTTAATTTCATGGCTTTTTACAAACAGCACCTTCGAAAACAATCCTTGATTTTTTTTTTGGGTTGTATTTTGGAAATCATTGCACAGAATATGAATTTACTCTATAAATAAATCAAGAGATACGAAAAATCAACATAAAGTAATTAACTAAAAGATTTGAAAGGAAGGAAGAAATTTTTTGGTAATTTCTTTTAGAACGCAAACTTTTACTACTGTATATGTTTTAAGTATTAATTACACTTTCATTATTTTGTTAAAAATAGAATAATAATTAGGGAATAATTCAAGCTTAACATTATTTATTAATGGTTGTAAATAGTTAAAATTTTTATTGTTAATTTAATTAACCGCAGTAAATTAATTACTAAAGTATTCTTGATTATTTTGTGTAGATATTTTTTTTTAATAAAATTTGATTTTATCAAAAATATTAAACTAACAATAATTCAATTTTAAAACAGTTATAAATAGTTTTGTATTTAGGTTAATGGTAACATTAATTAATTGTAGTATTGTTATATTTAGGTTAATGTAAATATAATTTAATTGTCTCAATTAATTTTAAAGTTATTTTTTTAATTTACACATTCTTGACACTAATTTGGACTTTCAGTTATTTCATTTTGCAAAAATAATTTTTAAATTATAAATATGAATAATTAAAGATTAAATGATTTTGAAGAAGTTATAAATAGTCTAAAGTATATTTTTTTAATATTAAAATAATTAATAGTAATTATTTTTTAAGTTCACATCTTTCGTTCGAAATATTTGAAATTGGAATTATATTTAACAAAATAGAGGTATCTCCCGACTTACGAACTAGTTACGTACCAAAGGGTTGTTCGTAAGTCGGGGAAATTAAAGAAAATAAAATATACTTATTTTACCACACTTTATCATGGTTTTTACTTTTATATATGATAAATTTCCTATTACTGACTGAATAAAACTGAAATAAATAGATTAATATGAATAAAATATTTTTCAATATAGACATCACAACCTTGTATCAAACTTGTTCGTAAGTCCGGGAATTCGTAAGTCGGACGATACCTGTATTGGGAATTCCATTCATAAAATCCTATGATAAAATTGTCCTAATATATTTTATAATTAGGGGGTTTATCTTATTTTTTTTATAGTTGTAATGGCATTTGGGAATGGAATTTTTGTCTTCCGTATTTTGAGTAACAATATTAGTAATTAATATTTGTTAAATACCCTAATTAATACAAGTACTGATACGCAGGTAAAATTAAAGAAAGTTCGACGATTCTTCATTGTTATAATAAAAAAAGTTAATAATAATAGAAGTCTGGCATAATTAAAATAATTGGAATACTGCTGGCAGTGCGTCCAATTGTGCAAAGGCATCCAGAACTTATAATTACGATCAAATCTAATCTTGGAGTGCTCAAACCCAAGATTGTGTTGCATAAATTACATGTTAATTAGAAATAGGTTTAAGACTTCAGGTTACAAACTACATAAAAAAAGAACATATGCATTTGTTGGATGTGTGAAAGCAAGTTCAGAGCTAATGATGAAGAGAGGTAAAACAATGCACGAGGAAGAAGTAAGCGCTTTGCAAATTACCGCCTCAATCATAGGATGCATATCGCGACCTTTAACATCAGAAAATAAAAATCCCGTAGTTTTCGAAAAACTTTCTAACCGTCTTCAACTTCCTTTATCAATTAGAAATTACACATTGCAATTACTAACTATTAGAAACTGACGAAAAAAATGTAAAATAATAGAGTTATTAACAGCAGTCGCATTCCGGGCTCAGTCTTGCATAGATTCCGCGAGGTGTTGCAACAGAATTCCGTGGCTGCTTTAAAGACAATTGCCATTAATTGAAGCTTAATTGGCAAACGACAAAAATTGTTTCGAAAGTGAATCGAAGAAGATAAAACTGAAGTTGTTTTTTTTTTCGAAACAATCATAATTGCTACGCTTCACGTGCAATTCGTTTTCAACCATTTAATTTAAGGCTATTATTATTATTACATTGCGGTTACCGACTCAACTATTCCTTCTTTTTTTCTTCTATTTTCCTTTTATAACGAGAACTTAGCGAAAATAAACATCAAACCAAAGAAAACGTGGAATTAGTTCCGTGGAATATACAATATTCTATGCTTCGCAGAAGTTCGACGGTAAAAGTGTATTTCATTTGAAATCTAATTATATTGAGAGATTTATTTTTTTATGTAAGATTAATTATTCAATACTTTCAGTTATGCAAAATAGGAAACGAGAACAACGCTTATTTCATTACTCTGCTTTGATTGCT